TAAACCCCAAACCTGAACCCTAAACGGTGGGTTTCGGGCTGGGCCTTTCCAGTTGGCTCTGACTCGTCTTCGACGTCTTGGGAAAGTAGGGGCAATGGGGTCTCAAGCCTCTCAACGGGTCCTAGGTACCTAGATGGGGGATAGTGCCCACACCAGAACAGTAATTTCTACTATAGAAGCGCTACATTCTACTAGTGCCTACTTGGGACACTTGAAGAGCCTCACAAGCCTCGTCTGTGAGGAAGGCACTAAGCCCCATGAGATTTTCCTTCCCAGTCCTAGACCCTCATCTTAATTTTGCCCAACGAGACACCAGGAAGCTCATGGACACACTCCATCGAGTGAAGGAGACGCTGCTGACCACAATCCTCACACATCAATTGTTTTTTTGCCGGACCTTTTATCACCTCCATTAGGGTTTAGGGCTTAGGGTTTAGATGGGCCAGCATGTAAAGAGCAAATCTCACGTGCGCAGCTGGGACTTCTGAGCTCCACGATTCCCCAGGAGATTCTACGAGATAGGCACAGGCACTCGAAAAAGCCACCGTTCAGGAAGTCGGCCATCTGCATGGGGAGACCAAGAATGCCTCACGACAAGCCCTCTGTAAGTCCGCCCCGTTGCTCTCTTTGTTTTAGGGTTTAGGGTTTAGGGGGCTTCTTGCCGTGAGGACCTCCCAGAGGCTTCCAAGTCTGAGAGGCACTGCACCTCTCTATCCATCTGTCTGAGTCTGCATACAAGATGCGTGCGCGCTCACGCATACAGACAGATAGATATCCATCTATCTATCTATTTCTCTACCTACCTACCTACCTACCTACCTACCTAGCTAGCTAGCTAGCTAGCTAGCCAGCCAGCTAGAAATCGATATATCCATCTATCCATCTGTGTTTCTATCGATCTTTCTCTCTCTCCCGATCTTTGTGCGTCTGCCCGCCTACTGGTACCAGAAAGATCTGTCAGGCATCACAAATTATTCAAACCATAAAGCAACTGACCCCCAGAGCTGCGACTCGACTGCTCCTTTGTCTCCTCAGAGACTGGAGGATTATGATAGTTTAGGCTTTAGGGTTTGGGGCTTAGGGTTTAGGTTTTATGGTTTAGGGTTTAGGTTTTAGGGTTCAGGGTACCTGTAGAATGCCCCATGCGGGGTCTGGTGTACAAGGCTCCTGTACTGCGGTGCTCTCCTAGGAATGGCGCATTTTGGAACAAAGAGTTCGTTTTCGAACCCATATGCCACTATGCCCTAACCCCCAAGCCACTACAGCCCCCGAATGCGTTTAGGGCTCAGGGTTCAGAGACCCAGAGATGGACAATACCCTGTTCATGAAGGAAGATGCCCTCGAATCATCAGCGGCTTCTTCGCATTTCGATGCCTCCCATCATGAACCCTAAACCCTAAACCCTAAACCCTAAACCCTAAACCCTAAACCCCAAACCCTCGAGGCCTCCCATCATGAACATCAGGATAGAGCTGATAAAGGCACCAAGCTCGACGGGCAAGCAGCACCTCACTTACGTAGGGGGCCTTAACAAATTAGAATAGGGTTTGGGGCTCCTTTTATTTTGGTCTGATTGTAACAAGGACACCAGGCCCAAGGAACAATCTAGGTAACTTCTTTAGGCTCCTGAAGTAGATTCGGAGTTTTGCTTCCGCGGAAGGCTCGCTGCGAAGCAGGGCTCAAGCAATCGCTTCAGGGGTTTAGGGGTTCAGGGGTTCATAGCGGTGAGCCAACGGCCAGCTGTACACCAGGTGCGAGCGACAGAAGACGTGACTAGACAACGGAGGGTTTAGGATTTAGGGTTCAGGGTTTAGTGTTTGGGGTTTAGGGTTTTGGGTTTGGGCTTCAGGGCTGAGGGTTTAGGGTTTACCAAAGCTTGATCGTCTCTTCGATGAACTTGAGGGGCTGCCGTTCTCATCTTCCGGGGTTCCCAGGTGGGCCGGTGCCGGTGCTGATCTTTGCAAATAAAGTCTCCAAACACCTCTTGCAGCCACACCCTCCGTCGAAACGAATCCTTAAACCCCAAAGCCCCTGAATCTTTTTGCCAAAGCAAAAATGAGTTAAATCTCCGATCGAGTCGCGAGAGCGCGTAGCCCCACCCCGAGGCCACGTACGATACTAAGAAAAAGGGCCAGATGTATTCCTCAAAAGCCTGGCAGGTTTCGTGAGCCACGATTTAGGGTTTAGGGTTTAGGGTTTAGGGTTTTGGGTTTTGGGTTTGGGGTTTAGGGTTTAGGGCTTATCGGGTTCAGATTTGGGCTTCTTGGGGGCTCTTGGGTGTGCCGGACTTCTGGATGTGAGAGCTGAGCTCCGTGGGGTTTGGAGGCTGGATGTATGGGCGAAGGTCTTGGATCTTAAACCCCAAACCCCAAACCCTAAACCCTAAATCCTAAACCCCAAACCCATAAACCCTGAACCCTAAACCCATAATCCTAAACCCCAAACCCATAACCCTGAACGCTAAGCCCTAAGCCCTAAATCCTGAACCCGAAGCCCTAAACCCTAAACCCTGAACCCGAAACCCTAAACCCTAAACCCCCTATAAACCCTAAACCTTAAACCCTAAACCCTGATCACCTAGCCTGACCTGAAGCTGAACTCCTCAACTCTCCCGATCCGATGATGCCCCGGTCCTTGTTTAGGGTTTAGGGTTTAGGATTTAGGGGTAGGGTTTAAGGTTCAGGGTTTAGGATTTAGGGGTTTCGGGTTTAGGATTTAAGGGTAGGATGAAGGGTTTAGGATTCAGGGATAGGGATTAAGGTTCAGGATTTAGGGGTCGGGTTTAAGGTTCAGGATTTAGGGGTAGGGTTTAGGGTTTAGGATTCAGGGGTAGGGTTTCGGGTTTAGGATTTAGGGGCAGGGTTTAGGGTTTAGGGTTTCGGATTCAGGGTTTGGGGTTTAGGGGTTGCGGTTTAGGTTTGTTCCCTGTTGGGGCTGCCTTGTAGGGTTTTAAATATATTGTTGGTTTAACCAAAAACGGAACTACAGTGGAGACTGTGGGCAGTCCCTGATGTCACAGATTCTGATGTGGGGGTTTGGCTGAAATTAGGGATACCTTCTTGGTTTAAGAAACCCACTATGTAGGGCCCTGATGTCTGACAAGTTCAAAACATGGTCCAGTCCCTGACCTTGATAACTCATGGGGATGCTATACGATGTGTAGGGCTACAGAAACAGACGCCATGAATGAAAGCTGAATGGCCAGAATCGGGCGTGCGATAGAGAAGTAGACCAACAGAAAGAAGAAGGTCAGCAACAGCCAGTCGAAGGTGTTGACCTGGGTTACCAAGAGTCAGAAGCCCGCGGGCAAGCGCAAACCAAGCGCTGGCTGCTGCTACGAAACACAAAGACACTGGGAGGACAAATGTTTCGACCTACTGGGCTTTTCTTGTCTTAAGACATCTTGCGGAGTATCAGAGTACCGAAAAGTGCAATTTAAGTGGCCTCGCCAGCGGAGAATTTATACCCCGTGTTGAAATCATACTGCGTTCATGCTCCGGGGGAGTACCCGGCTGGTCTTCTTTGTTACAATTCTATGGAGGAATGGGGACCTGTGCTTTAGGAAACAAGGAGTAGGTCAAACTTTTGTCTTACCACAGTATTGCTACTCCGCTACTGCTACGGCGACTGCGACGTCCACAGCCGCCTGCCGCAACTACCACTACCACTACCACTGCCACTGCCACTACTACTAACATTATAATTATTATGATTATTGTTATTGTTATTTTTTTTTACCACTACTACTACTACTACTACTACTACTACTACTACTACTACTACCACTAGCCACCCCCCCCCCCTACCAACTACACTTGCTCCATCCGGGGCTGGGCAGTGGCAGCTTCTAGGCTCCCGAACTGCGACAGGTGCAGAAGATGCAGGGGCTCAGGCCCCCTATCTGTGACAGCTGCAGAAGTTGCAGAGGCTCACTTTCCTTAACTGTCACAGTCGGTGAAGTC